GATGTAGAATGTTGTTTTTTGTTTTCTTACCTTACAATTAAATTTGAATGCTAGTAATTTTCCCTTGGATTGTTGGCAGGGACTTGCCTTGTTGAACCTGTCTGCTATCCTTCATTCTCTCAATTTCAAGTTATTAGACCAACGAAGGGAATTGCTTCTTTACTAGAATTGGTCAGGTTTTCGTTGCAGCAACGATCGAGGAATATGCGGACCATGGAAGCTGATCATAGAACCTTGGCCCATGGAAGCTGTGACCAACTCAAGTAACAGAAACTCCATGTGAACAACTGGAACTTTAATGTTGTCTAGATAAAGAAGTTCCTTGACCTGGAAATTTGGATCCTCCAATGTTACAGGTTCATCAACAAAGCCTTGCTTGCGCTGGATATTTGCTTTGGAGAAGACGGGGTATGCAGTATTGATGAAGATCAAGAAGCGAAGGCAGTGCCAAGGCTTATTCCTATAAGGCTACAAATCTATTATATGCCATTGTAGATGCACACTAAACATTTTTCACCATGCAAGGAGCTAGTAAGGATAGAACAATTGCATCAGGCTTCATAATACTAACTGCTACGCTTCTATCCTTCACAAACCTGACAATAGTTATGCTAGTCCCTGTCTTTGATCGCATCTGTCCCTTTATCAAGAGCTTTAGCTAGGAAACCCACTGGAATTAGAATGCTTCAAAGGATTGGAACTGGTTTCTTCTCAGCTACCATTTCCAAGAGGGTTGCAAGCTATTCTTTTGAGCAATCAAAATAACGGTAGCCATATACACAAAATGTACACCAGTCTAGTACAATTATTTTGAATACAAACAGTATTTCTTTTAATCGTGCTTCAATGCTGCTAATTAACTAGGGAATTGATTGACAAATTTGTGCACTCAATTGCTACATCTTCCAGGACCTGAAGAGGACAGCAAAGCATCATGACAGAGATGCCACATCATTGTACCTGTCATTCTACAGCGAAAAACATTAGGTAGCAAAAGCACACCAACAAGTCAAAGTTCATCACCTGCCATTCCAAAACGATGAATGATGAACTCTCCCCAGTCTCAAATCGTTTGCCCGCATCTCTTCGTCAGCATATGTCGGCAATTGTCCTGCCATGGGGCTCCAGTTCCCATGGCTGCT